CCAATATACAGTATGACTCCCCAAATTTCTGAAATTGTTGAGTGTATTTGAAATGTTAATACGCCATTGTAAAGCTTATTAATTTCTCTCTCAAATGCCGCATACCGCGGTAAAACGTATGCTGTGAGTGCAGTATATTGAACCCTTGAAAACTATTTTTTTTGGCCCACCCAGTACATCTAAAAGGATCAGATGGGGAACTTGCTCTCCCAGTTCCGATTTTCAGGAGGGATCGGTGCTGTTGCGTATTATAAGTATCAGAAACTGCCGAGTGGCAAGGTCTCGGAGATAATAGACAGCCTCATCGACGGGTGTTGCTTGGTCCATGTCAAAAGCATTCTCGGGCCATTGCAGAAAAAGGGATTCTTCGCAAGGAACATCTTCAACCAGAGTAACATTCCGGAAGCTTTGATCAACTGACATTTAGAGGCGAAGGCCCTCCTCGCCTAAAAGTCTTCATCAAAGCCGATGGTGTGTTCATATCAGGTTTTTCATGCTGTGTGGAATACCAGCTGTTGGAAGGAGAGGGGAGTGTAAGGTTTCGTGGTACTAAGTACAAGAAGTGTCCGATTTTCAGCTTCGCAATTGATTTAAGCGATGGTAAAGAAATTTCGTCACGAAGGTAACTACACCTATCTTTTTTTTATCATTGACAAAGTAACGCACGTTTGTGATTGGTCCCTTTCTTCCTGGAGAGGTGAAGCGATTGAATTATCGGAAGATGGAACAGGAAGAATACCTTCTGGAATTGGAGGGGAAAGGTTTTCATCTCGGGAAAATGTACTTCTGACAAGATGACGCGAACCCGCACACAGCGACCTCCGGCACGACATTATTTTTCAAACAGATTTTAACATCGTTTGGTGAGTGAGCAGGCATGACCAGCAGGGTCTCAGTTCGATTTTCCCATATGGATTTTTAAAAGGGGAATGTGCATGCAAAAAAGCACAAACCCTAGAAGGATGAGATCCGACACTGAGCTTCTTCCGTCTGAAGTGAAAGTCTAATGGACGGTGAGGATAATGCAAGAGTGAAAGCTCAAAAGTCGCTTCAAAATTGGCGGCTTATGTACTGAGTCATTTGCAAATTGTATTCCTCAGGAAAATTGTCATTGGGACTGATAAGATTTACGGTAGCTTTCTTTCTTGGTACCGCTCATGCAGGGAATAAATACATTTAAAATGTTCAATTTTTTGCCTGCTCGTCGGATCATAGCTGGGGAAGTTGGCTCATTTTCAGAGAATGATTGGGCGGCCACCTCAAAAGCGGGAGTTGCCCGACCAATCATTTGCCGAAAATGAGCCAAGGTGGCTGAGAAGGTTCCGAAAGCAGGCGTGAGATGGAGCCAAAGTGGCTGAGAAGGTTCCGAAAACAGGCGTGAGATGGAGCCAAAGTGGTCGTAGGAGGGAGTAACTTCTCGGATTCTACTGAAACGAGTTCCCTGTCTCTCTGACACATTTCCTATGGTTTTTCACATTGACCTCAGAGGGAGAAAATTGAATCTCTTGAAGCATTTCTCTGCATATGTAACGTAGGCCTTGAATAAACAAGGACATTCCGGTCCAGAGGTTCGTGGGAGGATCGTTCGACATTCCACGATAAGCTACGCGACTTGTGTTCTCATCAGCATTATAAAGCTTATCACATGCAATAAACTGGATGCTCATCATCCAAAAGGTATGTTGCTAGGGATATTCTTGGCGATAGAGTTGTACTTGTGTCAGGTACTATGGTAGGAGGCCAAATAAAGCGCGATGCTCTAGATGTGGTTTACGTGGGCTTTTTCCTATATCTTTTTACCATTGGGGAAAGTGAGCTCATGGTTAGGGCGTGAGCAGTTTCCCAACAATGAGCCAAAAATGGCGCGATGAAAATCTAACGGGACATGCCCAACCATAAGCCGGGTGAAACCAACTACATGTCCGTGATGACGCAACCATGGCCACACTTTCACGAAAAGCCGTCGATGGCCTGATGAAAAACCTTTGAGTGGAAATTTCACATTTTAACATTTCTACAATGTCTTTACTTTATGAACATCCTTTATAAGTATCTTTTCGTTGTACTTTCCTTCTGAAAAGCCTCCAGGGAAGGACTACCCAGAAAGGGGGAAATATCTATCGGAATGAAACTCCCATCTTAAAGAAGCGAGATTCCCGGGAAAATGTAGCTTAAAAATTGCAAGAGCTATTCTGCGTTGAGACGTAAAAGCCATGTCCAAGGATGAAAATCCTCCGGATGGTCTCATAAAGAATACGAGGTAGTTGAATATTTTACCGGGAAAGAGCTATGAGAAAAGTCATGGAAGCGCCCAGCCAGCCTCAGACATCCGACATACATTCGAATTGTTGAATTCGACGTACATTGTCCTCGTTATACGAGGATATACAGCGGACTTACGTCGGATTGCAAAATCATCCGAAAAAGTAACTTATCAATACTTTCTTGCCAATATGGAATCAGAAAGAACTAGAAGTTTCTGAAACACACTGTATATCTGTCATGCCGAAGCGCTCGGATGGCATGCAATTTCCCGAGTATCAGTTCACTATAAACGTAGAACTCGAAATTCGAATGCAAATTTGAAAATGATATGTAAATTTATATGCGCTAATTATTACAAACAAAAGAATTCCCACAACAGAGTGGACTTCTGTCAAAGAAATATCTCTCCACAAACACAGAGGCTCATAGGAGGTTATTTACTTGTTTTATTGTTAAGAGGTTAATAATTTATTCTAGAGCATGCGGATACAACATTCCATCTCTAAGGAAATAATATAAAGAGGCCCGCGCCGAGAAGCGGAATCAATTAAATCCGATGCGCTTTCAGTCTTTTTTACAAAATCGCCCAAGAAGCATTATCCATCCGACGCATGTCTGGTGTATGTCTTCACATCCCTAGGATGTATTTGGATTGTATGTCGGATGTCTGATGCTGCCCGGGTACTTTGGCGACAAGACAATTTTTTTTTCAGGATGCCATCGTCAGCCTAATTAATCCTGACGAAGGCTTTAATCTCGATGGGGCAACGCGATCTGGCACGGATCTGGCTCATTGCTCCCATAGTACAATGTCGGTAGTTCCAATTCCAATTGACAGTGTGGGTTCCGTTCCATCGCATCTCAAATATTTGAAGAGAGTGAATAGAAAATGAGAGTTAGAAGCAACTCTTCAGTCCATAAACTATACGAGCCGAGATGCTCAAAAGATAACGTTTATTTGATGCTCATTCAATTTAAGACGTGAGCTGAATAAATTTCAAATGAAGAGAGATTCGAACGGACCTTTTAAGTCATGGTTTTCCCATCCACGTGCAAAGACGAGTGACAATGTATGTGTAGTTCTACTCTCTGTTTAAAGCTTGTTTTGGCGACCTCTTTGGCTTGTTAAGCGAGCAGAGTTTCCGCGTCATTCTGATTCCGATACACAACATAGGACGAGCGATTGTGTCCATGCTGCAGGTAATTGAAGGGATCGCTCCAATCGGAGGAAAAAGCAAATATGAGCATTCTTAGAATACGATAGATGTACAGAACTGATCGTTGCATAGCAATACCGTGAGCTCTTTAAGGGAGATAAAGGAGGAATGTCACACGTATCAGTTACCATGCGGAAAGCTTCTAGAGTCTCTGCCGAGTTGGGGGGGAGGGAAAGGTGGTTCTCTTTCTGCCTGAGGGGACTTCAAGATCTGCTTACCTGGAAGAGGTAACGCAAACGGTTCTTATTCACCTGAGAGAGTTGGAGAGGAGGGCATGACAGTTCTTTTTTCTTGAAAACGGGAAAGGGGCTATCTTTAAGCGTCATATGAAGTCAGAGACTGCTCTCCTCCCTGTTTGCCATCTGCTGACTCCGCCAGTGAGGGATAGTTTAGATTTGCCTCTGAAAGTATGTATGCTCTTGATATAGCCTATTTTCCGCATCATACGGACACTAGACGGGAAGTTTATTTGAACACGTCGGGTAGAGTGAGGAAAAGTCGACCCGTGCAGGACAGACAGAGATAAACCTCGGCTAGACTACGCAGAGCGTTTCAGACGGACGGACACTTGCCGATTAATATGTAAGATTGCGGACTGTTCCAATATTTGTTCTGACTAGTATGAGATTATAGAATATCTCCGAGATAAATTATCCGATACTTCACAGGTGTTCCAGCTTGTATTGTATAGTGGATAGCATAAGAGGAAGTCTGAGAGAGTGCAGTGTGGGGAGAGGGAGCTCCATCAGTAAAGTAAAAATTGTGTCGGGCGTTGCACTTATACAACCAGTCCAAGGCAAAGGAATATCATAAGTCCAATGCACTGAGCCTTTCTTATTCAGATTTCCCCGAATCAATGAAACTTGTGATCTTCAAACACAGTAGTGCTGGAAGTGATTAGGGATTCTGCTGCACTGCATCCTGGCACTTCTTAAGCAAGCGTAAGAAATCCCAGAATTCCCATTTTATGCATAAGTAAATATGGGTCCAAGTTAGAATAAACTAAAAAGAAATAATCCCCGAAATTAACTTCTTTTTCCGCTTGGGAGGGGCCATGACGGATAAGAAAGATAACGAGATGACTTCTTTCTTGTGTGAGAAATGCAAATATTAAGCACTAGCGGGTTTGTTTTCCCGAAAGGCAAATAAACTCGCAAGTATTTAATCGTAAGATAGGCCTAGCGCGCTACAAAATAGATTTAAAAAAATAGCTTTTGTAGGAAGGACATAGCCACTTACTCCCAAATCGCTCAAAGCCGCGATACTCCCTCTGTATTGTCCATGAAGGCAGCAAGCCTCTCCTGAAAGCTAGTCACAATGGAGGCCGCCGTCATATCGTCACTTAACGTATTCCATTTGTTCACTACCCCACAAGTACGCAAGTTCTGTCGCAGCCTTCGCCTCACCTGTGGTTCTAGCAACCTAAGTTGAATCCTTCTCGTTTTGCTGCTAACATCGAACTGGGAAAACCTATCACTCTCTGCGTTATCCTTTCCTTTATTGACCTTAAATGCCTGGATGAGGTCCCCCCTCGCTTAGCGAGCGGGGACTTCTCTCGAGTGAGTACTCCTAATACAAATACTAATACTACGAAACGCTTCTCATACGGAAGTTTCCTAAGCGCCACGATGATCCTCAAGGCACGCCTCTGGCACACTCTCTCTCGCCGTTAATTCGCTTTTATTTGCACACGCAACACTCCAAATGAAGCCTTACCAGTGCCACACATAACGGAAGAATGATGCTCAATGTTTTCTTTAGTCTTTTAGTAGTTTAGTAGTTTTAGCTGCCACAGGGATAGGTCCTTGCCCCATCCCTCTTTAATGTGTAAATAAGTGACACGCCGAAGACAACATCCAGGAAATTCGCATATTCGGACGACCTGGCATTATCGACACAAGACACCAGTTTTCGCCCGATCGAAAACACCCACTTCCACCGCTGGAAACTCCGACAGAACCCATAAAAAAACAACAGTGCCGGTCATCCATTTCGATAACAAATATACCAATGAGGCCCTCAACGTCACCTTCTGTGGGAAACGGGTGAAGTACGACCCACACCCAATCTATCTTCAGATCACATGGGATCGTACGCTTACCTTCAATGCACACCTTGAGAAGGTTTCAGCGAAAACCAAAACGCGAGCCAACATCATCCAAGTGTTTGCGGGCGCCACATGGGGTGCAAAAACCAGCGTGCTATAGCTTTCTTGGCCGCAGAATATTGCGCACCGGTTTGGTCATGTAATTCTCCCATGAAGTTGGTAGACACCAAACCGAACACGATGATGCGGACGATATCAGGAACCCTCAAGCCCACCCGAACATCGAAGCTCCCCGTTCTAGGAAACATACATCCCCCTGCAAATTGTTGCTCCCCAGCCATACGAAAAGGAGTTGGAGTCAGAGTGGGGGGAGGATGGCTGTGAAGTTTCCTTTTATACCCTCTGTTATTATTTCATTAAAAAGCACCGCTCGCTGCACGCATTATTTATGAGCTTCGGACGAGCAGGGATTGTCCAACACGATTCTTGTTTTAAGGGACTTCTCACGGGGTCTTCTTACATTAATGAACCTCCTGTAAGATTGGCAACGTGTCCTGAAAGGTCTTAGCGCTTGCATGGGACATTCATGTACTATCCATGAAAAACTTTCATTTCTTCTACTGTATATACAGAACTTGTCAAGGATCTGAATCACTTTGGTCAAAGTTCTAAGGACTCACTCACCACCTGCCGCCCAATGATTAGGGGAGCAGAATTAGAGGAGCTCCTGGGGGAAACTGGGCTGAAACCTCTAAAAGGAGGGGTAAATAAGTTTGATTTCAGTGGCTAAATGTTGGTTATGCTTAAAATTAAGTAACCCATGTTTACATGCTATAGAAAAGCGTAAGTTTCCTCGGTTTCTTTTGTTTCCTCGGTTTCAATTCCAATTGTACGTCGGTCAGGAAGGCTTATTCTAGGCAAAATTCATGGCAATGAAGATGGGCATAAATCTTTTAAAATGAGCACATAACGGATGTATCGACTGCGTTTAAGCAAGGGGTGGTGGGGGGGGGAGGGAATGTTTTAAATACTCGTGTAAGTTTGTTTCTGAGTGCAGTGCAGCGTCGATTTTCCACATGTCACAGATCCCCACATTCCATCATCCGACCAAAAAATGGAGATATCACAATATCGCTTGAAGTTTTCGTCGTCAACTAATTGTGATAGGCAATTAGTGGAACATTTTGATGTCCAGGGGCCTATTTAATGGAATTTACAAGTTCTACAAGTTACAAGTTACTAGTAATAACAAGGGTCGTGTTGTATTCGTACGAAGAGCCAGTGGGACCAGCAGGAAGAGTTAAACAAGGAGCACGACCCTTGCAAGTACTTGTAACTTGTAGAACTTGTAAATTCCATGAAACAGGCCCCAGAACAAACTTGTTATTCATTAGTTCGGAGAGGCTGCTGGACTTATACTACTTTCTACTTCTTTGCGTTCTACTTTACATCCCCTCATGGTTGTGTAGTTTGGATAACATTTGCTTTCCAGGTGTTTCCGGGTATGGAAATGTTGAATTTCCTTCTCCCTTGTCAGGTGTTCTGAAAAGAGAACGAAAGATATGGATATAGATCGAAGTGCGCTTGCTCTTGGCAGTAAGGAGAAAATCATGAAGTTGAATTTTGAAATCCGGGCATCTGTGCAAGAGATACAAAATGAGTTTAAGAAGATTCATCCCGACGAAAATATTCCAGATGAAAAAACAATTCATGGCGTGATGGAGGCCTTCCGTAGAAGTAGGGGACAGACAGTCGCGCAGCCTTCATGTAGTGAAAAAAATTCATTCTACGTTCTGGTAGCGAAGACTGAGCACGAAGACTATTTGAAGGAGGAGAGGAAGGAGTTCTGTAAGTGGATAACTTTGAAGCTCGAAGAAGATAGAAAATTCCTAGACCGTGCTTTCTTCACGAATTACGCTGATTTCTACCTAAATGGAAAAGTGAAGAGGGAGAACGTCCAATTCAGTGGGTTAATGGATACATATAATGAAAGCCAAGACGGTGAAAACCAGAATGACAATATCCAAGATGTTCAAAGCCAGAAGGATGATTCCTCAGAAAGGGTGACCGTATGGTGCGCTCTGTCTCGAAAATTCTTCATCGGCCCCTTCTTCATAGAGACCGAGATGGGCGCCTCCTTCTTCAACAATAGCGAGGAAAATGAGTCGAAATACCAAGAAATGCTTCAGGATAGATTCTCCAAGGCCTTGGAGGCACTGCTGAGGAAAGAAAAAATTAAAAAGTGCAGGGTGTGGTTTCAGCATGGCAATATCCCGATGACCCAAGCTGCTGAATCTGCGTCGGATTGGCTTAACAGTTATCTGCCTGATCGCGTCATGGAATTTCCTCCGCCTGCATCTCCTGACTTGTCTCCGTTGGACTCTTTCCTCTGGGGTTTTTTGAAGGAAAAAGTCTATCTACAGAACCCCAAGACCATGGATGAACTAAAAAACATGCTAGTAAAAGCAACTGAAGATATTATTCCAGATATCTTAGCTCGCGTATCAGCCCATGCAGAATGCAATTGGATCCGCTGCCTCAAATTCGAAGGAAAATATGACCCTTTCACTAGGACGTACACGCCGCAGGTAATGTCTCACACATTTCTGATGCAGAAAAATCTCACGTTCCACAATTTTAGCAGAATTGTCATGTACACTCACTTGCGTCGACTTCTCATTTTCTCTATAGGGATGGTCAAAGCCCTGCAAAGGTTGTAACTGCACCATATGTCCCAACATGAGGGAGTGTAATTCCCTGGATATGGTGGGAGAGAATGGAGATATGAATACGCACCAGGTCGTGGCCGTGGAAGACGTAAACTGCAAGAGCGATAATGTCATATACTGCATCACTTGTTTAAAGTGCAATCAACAGTATATTGGTATGACAGTTTGCCTTAGGAATCGAATTACACAGCATAAAAGAGAGATTGCTCCTCAGACGTCAACAAAACGGGACATGAAGGAAGTGGAGGAGAATGGGAGAAATCCGAAGAGGTTTAAGAGGAAACATAGTGTGCGGGAAGCGGAGACTATTTTGATGGCGGATGAGGAGACTCTTATGGACGATGAGATGACGATCGAGGCTGCTGAGGAAGGAGATGAGACTAGAGAGCCATCGACTTCAAAAGGGCCCAAAGAGAGTATCGAGAAAACAAAGGTTGTTAAGGGGCTTCCAAGGCACATGGAGAATTGTGTGCCTGAAGCGTCGAAGCGGTGGGAGAGTCTGGATGTTGTCATCTTGCATGCCACAGGGTGCACAGAAGTAGAAAATCTGGAATTGATGGAGACTTATTACATCCAAAAGTATGATCCTGGAATAAATGCAAAAAAAAAACTTAACAAATGGACTCCTGAAGCCTCTGCCAGCATCAAGTGGTGAAGGTCAATGTGATTGTCTCTGGGCAGTCAAAGGGTCAAGAAATAGTATGGATACCTATTGAATACTCAAAATATCAGGAAAAATTTAATTTTTGGGAAGGGATCACTTAGAGTCTTCTTTATTCCATCAGCCTATACTTAATTCACCTACTCATTTATCAATTCATCGAAAGACGATGCTGTGAGGCCATTAAGAGGATTGATTCTTTTGGAACTTTTTTCGCTTTCCAATAACTTACGCAGAAAATTGATCCTATAGAGCTTTGGCATTCATTTTGTATAGTCTTCAGCGAATCATGAGAAAATGCAGAAATTGAAGTGGAACGCATGAAAATCATGAATCTGTACCACCATTGCTAGATTCCTATGATATAGCAGCATTCCGAAAAATATACAGATATCTCTATACTACTCCTATAATGTGTGAGAAGAGTATTTGTACTGAATGTATGATAATGAACTGAATTTACTCGAAAATTTCACAAGAGCAATAATTTGGGTTCTTCAAATTTCTCTCACGGATTTAGCATCAATTTACAAGTGTCGTATTCCATGGGAATGTTTACTTTTGAGTAAAATGCATGAAATGCATAATCGTCTGGTACACTTTCACTCCAAGTACTTTCCAAGCCCAAAAATGTAAAGCTGCCAATCCAGCAAGTGCTGAATGAAGTGAAAATGATATGATACATCCATGAGACTGATTAACTAGACACCTGTTCGCATAATCCAACACTGACCAAGGTGAAGAAATCGGGTTCTATGGTCCCCACAAATTTCCAATCAAAATGTCCATAACTAAAGAAGGTAACCGTTGCCTATCTGAACTTTTCTACCACGTTTCGGATGTTTATAGTCTTAAATGTATCGATTGAAAAACGATGATTCATAATAATGAAAATTACCTCAAGGAAACACAAAACCCCTTTCACATAATTTAATTTCACAGAGTGAAGGCATTGGTGCCCCAATGGTAATGGCATATTAGGAACACGTTGGCGAAAATTAGTGTGGCTTTTCAAGTGCGCTTCTCGTAACCAGAATGGCACCAGTGTGGATATCAACAGAACCCATGCCCATACAACCTATCATCCTCCTACAACCTTCAAAATGATGCTGGTGAGGGGGATGGAACTCATGAAACAATTTTTTTTTCGTTATGTGCTTCCGAATTCGGTACAATTTCTGGTTTCAGTATTTGTGAGTACTTAAATATAATTTAGTGAAATTCCAAGCAGTTCCCAGATAGGTTGATGAAGGTACACTCTGGCATACAGGCATCCAACGATGCATGTGGGACCTTCCTCTTCCCGTACACGAAAGCTAGATTTTATTTGCTCTTCTGGTTGGATGAATATGTGATTCAAAATTCCTGGAACCTATCATGGATTTAGCAATTAAGAAAAGGAATCGTGATCGTTCCGATACCGCGATCGGGCGAGTAAAATATAATTTCATTTACAATCGTGCACTGGTCAACTAAAAATCATTCATGAAGTCGATATTACCAAGCAATGAACAATCACAAAAGATATAGACGAAACACCCAGCAAATATTGTAAGTCAAGTCAAGTCAAATACTAGTAAAAAGTCAAATACATTGGATCATAGCGTATGTTCAATATTGGATCGATGAGTTTAAGAAGATTCATCCCGACGAAAATATTCCAGATGAAAAAACAATTCATGGCGTGATGGAGGCCTTCCGTAGAAGTAGGGGACAGACAGTCGCGCAGCCTTCATGTAGTGAAAAAAATTCATACTACGTTCTGGTAGCGAAGACTGAGCACAAAGACTATTTGAAGGAGGAGAGGAAGAAGTTCTGTAAGTGGATAACTTCGAAGCTCGAAGAAGATAGAAAATTCCTAGACCGTGCTTTCTTCACGAATTACGCTGATTTCTACCTAAATGGAAATGTGAAGAGGGAGGACGTCCAATTCAAGGGGTTAATGGATACATATAATGAAAGCCAAGACGGTGAAAACCAGAATGGCAATATCCAAGATGTTCAAAGCCAGAAGGATGATTCCTCAGAAAGGGTGACCGTATGGTACGCTCTGTCCCGAAAATTCTTCATCGGCCCCTTCTTCATAGAGACCGAGATGGGCGCCTCCTTCTTCAACAATAGCGAGAAAAATGAGTCGAAATACCAAGAAATGCTTAAGGATAGATTCTCCAAGGCCTTGGAGGCACTGCTGAGAAAAGAAAAAATTAAAAAGTGCAGGGTGTGGTTTCAGCATGGCAATTTCCCGATGACCCAAGCTGCTGAATCTGCGTCGGATTGGCTTGACAGTTATCTGCCTGATCGCGTCATGAAATTTACTCCGCCTGCATCTCCTGACTTGTCTCCGTTGGACTCTTTCCTCTGGGGTTTTTTGAAGGAAAAAGTCTATCTACAGAGCCCCAAGAGCATGGAGGAACTAAAAAACATGCTAATGAAAGCAACTGAAGATCTTGCTCCAGACATCTTAGCTCGCGTATCAGCCCATGCAGAATGCAATTGGATCAAGTGCCTCGAATTCGAAGGAGGATATAAAAACCCTTTCACTAGGACGTACACGCCGCAGGTAATGTCTCACACATTTCTGATGCAGAAAAATCTCACGTTCCACATTGTTAGCAGAATTGTCATATACATTCGCTTGCGTCGACTTCTCATTTTCTCTATAGGGATGGTCAAAGCCCTGCACAGTCACAGGTCGTAAATGCGTCCTATGTCCCAACATGAGGGAGTGTAATTCCCTGAATATGGTGGGAGAGAATGGAGAATTGAAGACGCACCAGGTCGTGGCCGTGGAAGACGTAAACTGCAAGAGCGAAAATGTTATATACTGCATCACTTGTTTAAAGTGCAATCAACAGTATATTGGTATGACAGGTTTCCTTAGGGATCGAATCGCACAGCATAAAAGAGAGATTGATCCTCAGCCGTCAACAAAACGAGACATGAAGGAAGTGGAGGAATGTAGGAGAACTCCGAAGAGGTTTAAGAGGAAAGATAGTGTGCGGGAAGTGGAGACTATTTCGATGGAGGATGAGGAGACTCTTACTGACGATGAGATGACGATCGAGGCTGCTGAGGAGGGACATGAGACTAGAGAGCCATCGACTTCAATAGGGCCCAAAGAGAGTATCAAGAAAACAAAGGTTGTTAAGGGGCTTCCAGCGCACATGAAGAATTGTGTGCCTGAAGCGTCGAAACGGTGGGAGAATCTGGATGTTGTCATCTTGCATGCCACAGGGTGCACAGAAGTAGAAAATCTGGATATGATGGAGACTTATTACATCCAAAAGTATGATCCTGGAATGAATGCAAAAAAAAAACTTAACAATTGGACACCTGAAGCCGCTGCCAACATCAAGTGGTGAAGGTCAATGTGATTGTCTCTGGGCAGTCAAAGGGTCAAGATATAGTATGGATACCAATTGAATACTCAAAATATCAGGAAAATTTTAATTTTTGGGAAGGGATCACTTAGAGTCTTCTTTATTCCATCAGCCTATACTTAATTCACCTACTCATTTATCAATTCATCGAAGGGCGATGCTGTGAGGCCATTAAGAGGATAGATTCTCTCGGAACTTTTTTCGCTTTTCAATAACTTACCCAGGAAATTGATCCTATAGAGCTTTGGCATTCATTTTGTATAGTCTTCAGCGAATCATGAGAAAATGCAGATATTGAAGTGGAATGCTTGAAAATCATGCATCTGTACCAACATTGCTAGATTCCTATGATATAGCAGCACTCCGAAAAAATATACAGATATCTCTATACTACTCCTATAATGTGTGAGAAGAGTATTAGTACTGAATGTATGATAATCAACTGAATTTCCTTGAAAATTTCACAAGAGCAATAATTTGGGTTCTTTAAGTTTCTTTCACGGATTTAGCACAAAATTACAAGTGTCGTATTCCATGGGAATGTCTACTTTTGAGTAAAATGCATGAAATGCATATTCATCTGGTACATTTTCACTCCAAGTACTTAGCAAGCCCAAAAATGTAAATCTGCAAATCCAGCAAGTGTTGAATAAAGTGAAAATGATATGATACATCCATGAGACTGATTAACTAGACACCTGTTCGCATAATCCAACACTGACCAAGGTGAAGAAATCGGGTTCTATGGTCCCCACAAATTTCTAATCAAAATGTCCATAAATAAAGAAGGTAACCGTTGCCTATCTGAACTTTTCTACCACGTTTCGGATGTTTATAGTCTTAAATGTATCGATTGAACAACGATAATTCATAATAATGAAAATTACCTCAAGGAGACACAAAACCACTTTCACTTAATTTAATTTCAAAGAGTGAAGGCATTGGTGCCCCAATGTTAATAGCTTATTAGGAACACGTTGCCGAAAATTATTGTGACTTTTCAAGTGCGCTTCTCGGAACCAGAATGGCACTAGTGTGGATATCAACAGAACCCATGCCCATACAACCTATCATCCTCTTACAACCTTCAAAATGATGCTGGTGAGGGGGATGGAAATCATGAAACAAATTTTTTTTTTCGTTATGTGTTTCCGAATTCGGTAGGATTTCTAATTTCAGTATTTGTGAGTACTTAATATATAATATAATTTAGTGAAATTCCAAGCAGTTCCCAGATATGTTGATGAAGTTACACTCTGGCATACAGGCATCCAACGATGCATGTGGGACCTTCCTTTTCCCCCGCAACATGTAGACGAAAGCGAGATTTTATTTGCTCTTCTGGTTGGATGGATATGTGATTCAAAATTCCCGGAACCTTTCATGGATTTAGCGATTAAAAAAAGGAATCGTGATCGTTTCGATACCGCGATCGGGCGAGTAAAACATAATTTTATTTACAATCGTGCTCTGGTCAACTAAAAATCATTCATGAAGTCAATATTACCAAACAATGAACAATCACAAATGATATAGACGAAACACAAGCAGATATTGGAAGTCAAGTCAAATACTTCCAGAGATGTACAATTTGAAAGTATCAAAAAGTGACGAATTTTGGGTCAAGTCATCATCACTTTAGGGCTCATGAAATTAGCATAAGAGCTTAATCTACATAAAATACTTAGGCTGGGTCCTTTTAAAGGTCTCTTCATGCCCTTTCTTAATGACGTGAATCAAAGTCACACAATGAGGTCAGGGATCAAAGCTTAAAAGGTCTGAAATTTGTCCTTTAATTCCAGAAAAAAGGTGATTTTTTAAATTACCATACCATTCTTAATTTCTTCTGCGCTAGTGCTCAACATTTCAACTTGGGACTGTCATGGGATTAGGAGTTATAAGCAATGGATTGATAGCATGTACATGAAAATCCCCATGAATTTGTCTAAAAGCTAAAAAAATATCCAGTTAAATGACATGAACTCGTTTGAAAAACCCAATTCAAACCAAAACTGGGCCAAGTTGAACACTTCATTATTCATGACTGGAGCTTTCCAGTTGTAAGTTCATCTCGCGAAACAGTGACTTTCTCTTCTTATGAAACAAATGAGATGGTATACTCTTTGGAAGGAACCTTTCCCTTCGTCAATGGAATAAAAGAATGAAATTTTGTCTTTCAGGGATCATGCGTGATTACTCAAATCTTTATTTTAGGAACTTTGCCTCTCTCCTGGAGCCTTCAAAGCCGCAATACTTAAATGAAATGGCCAGGATATTCTCATGATAGTTTCCGAATATATTTATTCCTCCCAGAACAAACCGGCAGTGCAAGAGAAACAGTGTGATTGAAAAGTTTTTCCTACTATAAAAATACGAAATAAATTGTCTAAAAAGAGCCTTACGACTATTACGACTGACGTAAAAAAATCCTGATATTATCGATATGATCAATTTTCAGTTACTGGTAAGTTGTCGAACATAAAATGAAGAAGTGGCAGGGGAACATATTTCTTTTACATGGGTGAATCCCCACATAACCCCACATGTATTAGGGAAATCGTATGGCAAGAGAATAACATTATAGTCATCTTTTTCTTGCACTCATAAATGACCCCTATCCTTAAAAATGTCCCGATCTCATAATGAGGTCGTGGCCCATCTGCCGAGAGAGATACATTCGTGTCTTTACTAGCGCCTCTGTGGTTACTCTATGGTGTTTTTCATGTCAAGTAGTGCCAGATGGTACAGTTTTGGCCCGAGTCGATATGAATTCCTTCTACGTTTCAGATAGTTGTATTGTACTAACTTCACTTTCAGATTAAGCCGGCAGCGCATCTGCCATACCGAAACGAATCTTAAGACTTGACCATCTAATACCTCTACTGTTACGCTTCTTGTCAAAATATTTAACGCGTCATTAGTAACGATGGCAAAGACAAGATGTCTCTCACGTCGCTGGAGGCAGCAGCGCCACGGAGAGGGGGTGTGGGGGGGGGTTTAGTCAATCCGGAAACACTGTAAGGCGCCATCAGACGCTATGACTTTGCTTGCATTTGTCTGCTCCGGTATGAGTGCATTTGCTTTCAGCAGGTGATTAGATATGAGACAACCGCGTGAGTTTTCAGGACAACGTCTGCTGCATGCCTGGTTCCTCTCCTGCAATGGCCCTGTCTAGATCGGGATGAAACTTTCCGTGGATGAAATTTCCATTGCTGGATATTTCTTTTATTACTGGTTGGAAGAAATTTGTTGAGGCAGCTTGGAGAATATCAGCTAAGTCGAAAATGTGACCGTCGTTAGAGAATACAAAAACGGCTGGCAAGGAAGCGAGAAAAGGGTTTCTAAGCTAATATTTTCCTAGAATTACACGAGGAAGATCTCCATCATGTTCGTGCTCTTCTGAGGATGGAAACAATAATGCGGGAAGCGCCATGTTGGCTGATTATACCAAACAATAAGGGGGCATACTTGCTATGAGCGACTACAAGAGAGTCAAGGATGTCTCGAGACCTTGAGTTGCTACCCCACTCATGTGAGTCCATGAGTCGCTCATAGTATCGCGGATCACATGAGCTCATATTATATAGCTCATTTGGGAGCGGTCATGTATGAGCAAAATCATAGCGTATGATGACGCCATCACACAGGTAGAGATATTACTAGTGAGCCTGAGAATTGACCTTGCCTTCCCTTATTAAGGATTGATGCAGATATAGATATAAGTCATGAAAATCAGGCGTGGAAAGTCGCCCCTGTGCACTTTCGCCCGAACCGTGAGGTCGTCAAATACAATTCTGTGATTATTGTCAATCGGAATGTGTGGATGAGATTCAACTGGGGTGAAAGGAGAATTAACCGTCAGAGGAAGGATAACTAATTCTTATTTCCATTTTCACAGCCTCGTTTCATTAAAATACAGTATAATATAGCAGGATTGAAAAGTATGACAAAATAGGGACCTGCTAAGGCGGCTCCAAAACAGAAGCTTGCCTTTTTACCTGTCATACAGGATTCGAAGTTTGTGCAGGATTTCCAGGATTTGCCCAGGATTTCCTCGATGCGAAAGTCGTCATCGTTCTCCATCTATTATAATTACGGATTTTCGAGGTCTTCGTCAAAACGCATTAGAGGCGAAAATTCAGTCGGATCGGGAAACATTGCTTTTGCTCGCGCCGGATTTTCTTGATCAGATTAAATTGACTGTTGCACTGAGAGAAGGGCAGGACTTCTTGGACATGGAAAACTTAAGAAAGTATTCGGTATAGTTTTAGATTATGAAACCTAAAAAACATTGAGGGAATTTGGTCAAGACGAAAAAGTGTTAGCTGATGCACGATGCACGAAACGCCTACCTCCTTACGAGTGATTTGCAGTACCTATTATTCGGGATGGGTCATTGGAGTCGTAAGAAGAGCCCAAGGTTTTCATAGAGCCTATGCTAGGAGCCCGAGTCCCATTTTCTCCGATATGCTACCATAAAAAAAAATGATATCTTCAATCTCCTTGGCGGAAATCCTCATCCTCCAAAAATACTCAAAGGAAGAGAGCTTGTGTCTGCTACTTACGAGTAACAAGAACAAAGTATATCTGTCTCAGTAGGGTGAGATGGGCTTTTGGTCCCCATGATAGCCAATATTGGCCAATGCTTACTATTAGGTTCTCGACTACTAGGTTTGTTCTCGATTCCACCTGATTATCACTTTTCTAAAATGAACTTCAATTCCTATTCATCCACCCTGTTTGGTCAAATTTTACATGTCAGAAAACTCGACAAGAAAATACTTCAGGATCTTTGGAACACAATCGTATCTCAACAGCCACTCAAATCGCTACTTGCAAATAATTGTCCTTGCTGATGCATGCATATCATGGGCGCCACCTATTGCACACACTTCCAATTCCATTGGGGGTCCTGTTCTTGCTGTCATTGCTTGCAATTCTGAGGCCAGAAATCTCGTCTTCTATGGGTGCCTTATTTCCACCCCGTGTGGCAGCAAAAACATTCAATCATAGCCATTATGGACTGTAATCCCATCCTCAGGGAGTTTCTTATCTAGCAAATATCCATTTCACATCCAATGTTGTCTAAGCCGAGTCGTACTTCACCGTCGCACAACTGCACCAGTGTCCCTGACTGAATAGAGTAAGTGGAGTTTCACAGATGAACTTATACCACCTTCAATGTGGACTATCCATTATCCTAATGTCTCATGTATCTCAGATGTATTCCCTCACCTCCAAAACATCACCAACGAAATAACGTATAGTAAGTATATGATGATTCGAATTAATGTGCAAAACACATAACATGATTGCAAGCCAACATAATACTTCCGACCGGATAGACCATGTTGTGATACACATGTGCTTCTGCAGTGGTGCTCCGTAACCGCCCTACCAAACAATGCATCAGAAATGTAACGGTAATGATGTTTATTTTCAAGAAAACAGAAGCTTTGAATTGTTCAGTCATTCTTCACCAAACTTACTTTTCCTCTTTCTCCCTTCTTTTCATTCAGCTCAGGGGAGTACCGATTGATGTAGTAATACTCCAGGTCCTCCAGTGGTTTTCTGAATATTCCCTCTGAATTTCTATATATTCCCTGCGGAATATGCAAAATGCCTACTTCCACACGCTTCCATTCAGACGACACACATTCTCTCATGTGGAGCGCCAACCGGTTCCTCGATCTTTTCTCTATGGCTCTCTTATGCTCTCCCAGGCGTTTATGTAGATGCCTCTCTGTACTGCCAATATATTGTTGTTTGCATTGGGTGCAGGTGATGCAGTATACCACAAAATTCGTCTTGCAATTTCCACTGCCAACAGCGACGACCGCATGGTCAAACCGTCTCTCCCAGGGTCTACTCTCGCCTATCGCCAATGAGTCGCATTCCATCATTACCGGGCATGACTCACATTTCCGGGCCTTGCAGCGCTCTGATCGTCCCTATGAAAAAGTGAAGGAAAAACTTATGAAGTATGCGGTTCTGGACCGACATGAACCTTAAGCACCAGTTGTGATAATTCATGGTACAATACCTTTGGCTTCCATAACTTAGTGAATGGTTCGATATGCTCTCCCTTCTTCACCTGGAGTTCGCGACAACGTTTCCACCTGTTTTGTGCGTCTTCAAAAACTCTGACCAATATATCTTCAGAAATAGTATCTGTGGCCTCTTTCAGATGTCGTTTCAACTCTCTCACAGTCATAGGATTTTGCTGATCATTCCTCTGCATTTTCACCCACTCCTTGAGAAATCCCCAGAGGAAAAAGTCAACAGGAGACAGGTCTGGTGACCCTGGTGTGCATATTTCTTTAGGAATGATGCGATTAAATAGTTTCTTCTTCAACCATTGATCCACTGATGCTGAAACTTGTGTATTTCGGGCATTGTTCTGCAGAAACCATACTCTCCATTTTTCGATTCTACTATTGCTTTCCAAACTCCTATTGCTTTCCAAAACTTCTTTATAATTTTCTTTTGGTTCTCTTCCCAGCTTCTGAAGAAGAACGGGCCAACCAAATGTTTTCGGGAGATGGCATACCACACAGTTACCTTTTGGTCGGAATCCTCATTTGAGGTGACGATATCTGGCTGACTCTCACCCCAAAAGCAGGCATCCTCTCTCCTCACTGTTCCATCCACATAGAAATATGCAAAATTTGCGAAGAATGCGAAATCTAGGAAATCTGGTTCTTCCTTCTGTTTTCGAGTCATCCACTGGCAGAATTCCTTCCTCATCTTGTAAAGATAGATGAGATTCTCTGGTACGGCCACGGACAAGTAATATGGGAATTCTGCCATGGTTTCTTTGTGGTGATCCTTTGAAGTCGAAAGTAAGCCTTTAGATGGGATGTGGTTCTCGTGGGCGTTGCCACAGCAATTTCTATCGTCAGTTTCCAAAAGTATTCCTATGTTTTCCGCACATCTTCAGAACCACTCCATCGAAACATCAGTTTACCCTTTGGGCTCTGTGGAAGGAGAAATTTTCTATTCTCACATTAAAAAGTTCACACAAACTCCTCAACCACATAAAATGGAAGAGGAATCCACGTCAGCGACAGCACACCAGCTTTCCTTGTTCGGGTTACTTCTAGCTGTGTTACACTGAAATGACAATATCATTCACATTCTCGATGCAGTCTTTGAATAGAAACTGCTCCCTTTCCTTGAAAATAATTCACATTGAAGCCATGACGCACTACCAAAAGCGCACAAACGACAAGACACTACGATAGGGTTCGAAACGCAAAACCATTCACTGCAAATCCTAGAATGCTTAATTACCGACTTCCTTGAGCATGAAAACCCAGATTAGAATTGATCATAGCTGAGTTAGAGCTAGAGTTAGAGGTAGAACTAGAATTAGAGTTACAGCTAGAGCTAGAGATTGTGCTCGAGCTAGAACTCGAACTGCAATAGCCGGAGTCTCTCGACGGAATATTCGAGATGTCACACATTTGCGAGCTGAACTTCATAGAAAGCGAAGTATGACAAGGCCTTGCCATTTTCATTTTTTTCCTGCTTCTTCGTCCCCGTGCTTTTCCCCTTTTCTCCTTGGATCTCATCGGACAGTTCATCGCAGGTTTGAAACGTTGGATATATTGAGACTCTAGGACTTCCAGGCTGGCCGCGGATTTTTCGAGCGAGACATGCATGATGGCCACATCCAGATTCTCCCATCTTTGCGTCGCATCAGACAAGCACTTTTGCATGTGGGCTCGCAGCCCCGTCGAGGCTTCCGTTCTCCTTGCGTCCGTTGCCATGTCACTTGCCATGCGGTCACGAAGGATATTTTTTGTGTTTCCAATATATTGATGTCCGCACATTTTGCAAGTGACGCAGTAAATAACGTGCGTAGTCCCGCAGTTTCCAACTCCCACAGCAACAAGCCGGTGCGTTTTCTCTTTTCCGTCATCTCTTCTCATCACCAAAGAGTCACACCGCGGCTTCATACTCGGACATAAGAAGCACCGGCGGGCATTGCAGGGCTCTGACCATCCCTGAGGAAAGAAATTACAAGAAAAGTGCACTAAACCATGGACATGAACAATGGACAACTCTCCAGGCATTCTGAATGGAAAAAAAAAACAGAATGACTCAGAAATGAGAAGGTTCAGTACCTCTGGGATGTATGTCATCGTGTATAGGGGCGTTTCATTAGCATAGGAGCCTTCGAGTTCCAGGCAACGCTTCCACCTGATTTTTGCATTGGAAAAAATATTGCTCAAAATTTCTTGAGAAATTTTGGAGGTCGCCTCTTCCAGACATTCCTTCAATTCGGTCACTGCGTTTAGTTTCTGCTGATGGACTTTCTCTTTCAAATACCCCCAGAGAAAAAAGTCAACAGGAGACAGATCTGGAGACGCGGGTGGCCATAGATCTCGAGAGATGATGCGTCCAAAGAAACAATTTTTCAGCCATTTCATAACCGAAAAAGCGACTTGCGAATTTGGGACGCTGTCCTGCTGAAACCATACCCTGTATTTTTTCATTCCTTTTTCTTCTAACGCTTTTAACTCTGCCATGAATCTATTCCGAAGCATGTCTTTGTACTGCTCCTCGTTCTTTTCTCTTGTGATGAAGAAAGGACCGATCAAGTACTTCTGAGAAAGAGCATACCATACGGTTACCCCTTTCGAGATATCTTTTTGAGGGTCATCATTTGGATCAGGGTCACATTTGCGCCAGAAGTAGGCATTCTCCCGCTTTACTGTCCCATCCAGACAGATATGTGCGGAATGTGTGAAGAATGCACAGTCAAGAAATTCTTTGTCCTCGTGCAGCTTCCGAGCTATCCACTTGCAGAACGCCTTCCTCTTCTTGTGTAGATAATCTTTATGCTCTGTAATGGCTATCGACACCTTGTAGTCATATTCTTCCATAATCTTTATTTCTTTAAGATGCAGCTAGGAAGGCCTAGTCTTCAGTGCAAGTTCGGGCAAGGGTTCCAATATTCTTTATGACTCTATTACGACATTTCATCTCGAGGATGCGCTTGAAAGGTTTGAATCACAACCCATGCTTCAGATTGTGCCTCGTTGCCATGCATATGTTTCCATCAGAGAATCAGCACATGTGTGCTGCACTTCACTCAGGCCAGCTGAACTGAAAGTATACTTTCTGAAAAATTAAATGGGAGCACTTTTTGGGATTAGAAAATTAAATAATTTTTTTTTAAAGATAATCATGCAATTACAGGGTGAGTCATGAATATTCACACCAAATCGAAGTCTTATATTTCCTGTACTAATAACTTCTCACGGAATCGATTGAATCTCACTCAACCAGAAAGAATGGCTCAGAGTAACTATTCACAAAATATTAATATGTTCGTTGTGTCTCCGTTCTTCTTGCAGGCAACCTGGAATCTTTGAATCTGTCAGTTGATCGCTCTGGACGAACATGGTTTAGCTCCTCTTTCAGCACTCGTTCAAGTTGCTGGATTTCGTTAAGGGGTACTTGCTACAAAAAGAAATGGCATGCAGTAAGCCATTTTGTTACAGTGAGAGTTGTATGGGGGTCCTTCGTATTTGAATACTTCTGTCTCGTGATCAGCCAATTTTTTGAAGCTCAAGCCATTTCTGGGCGGAAGAGGATTCATGTTGAAATAGCCAAGGTTGACCATCAAAGTGACACTCATATAGAGGTATAAAACATTTTCTTTCCTGTTTTTAGGCGTACACAAGTGGTGTGAAAATGTACGGCTCATCCTGTAGTGAGTAAAAAGAGGATGCCAATATTTTGTCTATCGGCTGCCCTCTCTGCAGGTCAACTAAACCCCACCTGGAAATATATACGAGCTAGGTTCTCTTTAACCCATCCGCTTTCTTAGTTGTTGAATCAACGGCCTCACAATACAAGCGCTTGGTATAGCTGGTAAGCGGATGGGTTAAAGAAGCGAAAACTTCATAATAGTGGTATGGATGAGTCTCGCTTCACCTGTGATTCACGCGGAACTCACGATTATTTTCTATAGTCGTTACTAAAATGGAGTCTCGGCGAAGGCTCTTGTCATAATCGTGAAGAGATATGAATTTACTCACGCAAGGTATTCTCAGGCAAGCTTTTCTAATGATCCCACTGTCGTGTGCTGCCTAGGGACCGTTCCCTATTCAATACGTGACAGTTTCATCGAATTAAACGGTTCGATCTTTTTATTTGGAGCAGAAAAGAAGGTATATTACGCAAGTAGTAAGGATGGATTTGCACAATCTGGCAGCTAAATATTCTCTATATAGCAATTAAAAAATTATACATAATGCACGGTGTGTGTTTTTGGAGAGTGGATTGCCAAGTGAAACTTTCACAAGAAGCAACGCTTCCGGGACGAACAGGGTCCCTCAGCTGCATACCTTTAAAGTGACTTTTAGTCACTTTAATGGAAGGATTGCACTCGTGAGATCTCCTTCCTGCCCCTCCCATCCCTCCCCCTCCCTGGGGTACGTTATATCAGGCCCATCCGCTGATTATATGTCGGTTGCATCAATTTCGAAACTTTGGGAAGAGAAGCTGAAATACTGGGTGAGCAAAAAGGAGCATAGTCAACTCAGTGATGTTCAAATTTATTTGGACTTTTACGAAGTAAAAGATTCCAAATTAATAATTACTATCATGAGCGAATGAATTGAATTTAAAATTTTTCAGCTCGTGATACAAATGGTTAAAATTTTATTATTCAACATTGCATCAGCCTCAGTTTACCAAGTAATTTTGACCAATTTGGCACAGAAATTAGAGTCTTAGAAACAATTATTGGAATGTATTATGCTAAGTAAACAAGGTTAATAAGTTTTTTCGAATTTTTTTATCGTCTACCCCTATAACACATTACATTGAATCATCATGGAAACATTCAATGTGTGTTATTTCAATGTTATGTGCTACTGGGTATACATCATTGGCAGGGTAGCTGGGAGGTTAATAAAATTTCGCATGGAATTACTTTAAAATGAAATTTTCGGAGAGGCTTAGAGCTTCTGACCTGCGTTGCCAATCCAATTTGTCCTTGGTGCAATAAGTTCGCTACGCTCCTACAGTTTCAGATGAATCTATATCTAAAACAAAAATGGGAACAGGATTTACTGAATTTTCATTACACGACCCATCACAGGGTACACTCGCTAAGGGCATCGGATTGGACTGAGGCCTCAGGAAAGGCTCGCCCTGAGGCGCATCAAGGACCAGTAATAATAAAAGAGTACTCCATAATTGGCCATGGCCGTATCTAAGAGGCGGGCGAAACGGGCGGAGCAAGGAAAGGGGGGGGGGGGAAGTGATGGAAGAGATGTACGTAGAGAGAAAAGCAACCTCATTGAACCTGTCTTTGTCCCTCTCTCAACTATCATTCCAATTAGATAAAAATCGCAATCCTGCTCCCCTTCTTGCTCGTTAGTGCAACCGGAATTGCAGAAACGAGTAGAGAAAAAAGGAATAAAGTACCTGTAAGTGAAAACCAATTTTTAATGGCCTTCCCTTTCTTCAACCCCCTCCCCCCCATACCCTATCGTACGGGACTCACTAAATTTAGGCCTAGGTCAAACTAACAAACTGCCTTCAGGGTACGTCAAGGCCTACCTTTTTCCTTTCAATAAAAACTCAATTCTTGACAAGTAGCCTTATGAGGGTGAATCCATGGTCTTCCAGACATCTCGTTGGAGAGACGTATAACGTTAGGCCTATCGCAGGCCAATTCATAAGCTCACGAACCTCTTCAGAGAGGACATGTAACATTATACCGATTTCAGGCCTGTTTCGGGTTCCATGAACCTGAAGCATATTAAAACGCTCATTAAGAAGGTCGTACTTAGGGACCTGATACAAGACGCAGGATGTAATAGAAAGATTAAAGCATTCCTTCTCCGGAAACGCATATCCTGAACAGCACACCCCTCATGACCGATAATGTCCAAGGGCGAGACGCCCTGAGTAATAATCTGGAATGGCAGCCCTTCTCCGGGAACGGATATCCTGACCTTGTTGACTGATAATGCCCCAGGATGAGACATCCGAACTAATAATCTGGAACGAAAAACCTTATCGGCTTCATCCGGGAAAACCCGGGGGAAAAGGAGGAGTCGAAGGAGGTCGAGAGGAGAATAGAGGGAGAGAAAGGGAGAGAGAGAGGATGAAGGATATTGAAGGAAATGAGGGAAGCAAGAAATGGTTGGCAGGGATGATGGAGACCCTGTACCCCGATATTGTTGACGGAATGATTTTTGAAGAAGGAGATGGGATTGAACTGGCTCAGAAGATTTAGTGGGAATCACCCGACGGTGTTTCGCAGAAAAATCTCCCGAGCGATTTCCACTTTCGCCTATGTGAATTTTTGATGGGCAGAAGGTACAGGAGAGAGGATAGACAACATTTTTAGTGCATGTTAAATGTTGCAAGATTTTGAAGTGTCCTCTGAGGTCTTTGAAGGAGAGATAGAAAAAAAGACGGGGCAACCACAAGGGAAGGTCCGAGGTGTACACGTGAAGAGTTTAGAGTGAGAGATAGGGTTTTTAGAATTACTGTCTCGTCGGGAGGTATGGAGAGGGATAGCGGAGAACATAGGACCAGCCACGAGAATGGCTAGACTCCTTATTTGTTTTCACACTAGTCTACATCTAATAATCTCGACTTCGGAAAGTGGATACGCATGAAGGGGCGCGGGTACGAATGTTCGCTTAAAAGATTAAGTTTCCTCTCGTGCACAAATGATTTATTTTCATAGAATGATAATTTTTTTCTTACGTTTCTTTCTCTCCAGGACAAAATGCTTTCAAGGGTAAATGCTCCCATTTCTCATTGATGGTAACATGCATTGAATTTATCATTTGCCCCTAGAAGATAGACGGACGAGAGATAAGACGCATATAAATTGCACCGATAACGACCAGGAGACGCCTTTGTTCTTCTGTAAATTTCGGCAGCATTGAAAGCCTCGAACCATAGAAATCACGCTCCCTCTGTGGTGGTGAACTGGCTTGAAAAAACCCGCCCAATATAGGATTACGCAGTAGGGCTTGATTGAATTAAGAGACGCAGGACAATTAAAAAAAGGGGTTTCTTCCATGAAACGAGATCAAATGTAATTGACTCCAATAGGTGGAGACTTCCTTGGTTCTGCCATAAGACTGACTGTAACAGAGGTATCTGTAGTTTCTACCTAGAATGGGTAAAAAAAAAAGGGCTTTATAACGGTATACAACACGGGATACTTTTGCATGAGAGGTAAAAGTTATAGCTGATTAAACATGGAAGGGGTTTCTATGGCAGCTGGAATATAAATCACGTCGAAACTCCCCCTAGAAGGGTTTCATGTATTTGTCACGTCACTTTCTATTTTGAGTTAAATATGAACTCTAAATTGGGTTATAAGCTCGAAATTTAGTTGTACTTCCTTAACTTCATTCATTAACAAACAGAAATTTGTTCTCTCACGAAAAAAGTCCCCAGAACTGAGTGGACTTCTGTCCGAGAAATGTCACACCTAAAAGGTTAATATCGCATTTCAGCGGATTCGGATGTGAAGAGATTCCATCTCTGAAGGACGAAATACGAAGGAGAGGCCTGCGCAGGGAAGCGGGAACGACCGTCACAAGAGAATCCAATGCAGTTTCACTCTTCCGTGCGGAACTTACTTTGCAATGAGGGAATCGTGTTTTTTGGGACGCGTCGATCAGACTCCTCAGCACGATGAGGATTTTTCATATCGATGGGGCTGTGTGGGCCCTTTCGTGCAATCCCGCACGGATCAGGTTCGGTGCTTCCATTGTCCGATGTGAAACGTATTATATGACCGACTTGGTAGGTGTCTCTCCATTTTATCTGAAAATTTTGAAGAAAATTCATTGTTAATAGGAATAAGAAGAAACTCTTGGGTCCGAAAGTTTCAGTTGAGTCTGGAGACTCTGGAAATCAAGTCTAATCGCTTCTGTCCAGATTTGTGTTTGATCCAAATTCAATCGAAGACATGAGCCGAATGACCGCGTCTACTATATGAGTTACCGATCCGTTCCGACGTTCGAATACGAGAACCATCTGAATTTTAGTCGGTTGTAGTGGCGCGCACACCGCAGGTGTGGATGGGATGGGAAGCCGATCGGCTGTTGATCAGCTGATGAGTAGCACGCATGCACGGAGAAACGAGGGTTCTTCGCCGCTTGTCGCACGGCTTTCTTCTGTGAACCTGATGGAGGTCGTGAGACTCCTGCGGGCAGAAAGATCATTTAGGTTGTGGCATTCGCATCCGCGATTAAGGCAACATGTCTTGTCGTGTGATTGCATTAAATGTGCTTCAAGCATAACAATGGGCGCAGTAGCGCCCATTACCTTTCTTCAACCCATTTCGGCGAAAAAATTCAACCGTCTCGTATTCCTCTCTGAGAACTTATCAACAGAAACGAAATTTGGCATTATTTTTCTTCTCCCAACACGGAATCGCTCTAGCAAATTTGAAGCTCCATCTCCCCGGGTTTGCGGAGAACATTGAATCGCTCTTTTTGAAGATGTGAATTTCATTCCGGTATTTTTTTTTTCTCCTCCTCTGGGTAGCCACTCCTGGGGAGTCTACGGAGGAAAGAAACTTACCAGTCGAAAGATATTGACTTGTAGGTGACAAAAAGTGCCTCATTTATTGCTTGCGGTGCAACATTTTACCATGAAAAATGAAATTATAAACTATTTGTGAAATGATTGAAATTAGTTATTTAGGACCGTTCCGCGAAGGAAAGGTTCCCCCCATTTTCGCCGGATTTCATGTCGGAGTTATGTCAGATTCTCTGGATATTCTCTTTTTTAATGTAAGAGATATGATTGTGCTGAATTCATGGGATG